TTTGAAAAAGTTATGGGGGTTATATATAATTATGCTAATATGAAATGTTCCATAAAATAGCAAGTGTTAATTGTTACACCTTTAAAAACTAATTGAGGTAAATATTTACTTAAATTCTCGGTAGGTAACAAATAAAAAGTTCAAAATGTTGAGCTCCCTAAACATAATTCAGCTATTATTATAGACAGTGATGACTTGAAACTTGTGTTCTGATAACTATGCAGATTAGGATTTATAATTGATTTCCTCTCAAAACCGACGCTGGTTGGTTTCATGGCGGGTGCAGCCATCATCGTGTCACTTCAACAGCTTAAAGGGATGCTTGGAATTGTGAATTTCACAAACAAGATGCAAATAGTTCCTGTTTTGACCTCTGTATTTAAACAAAGAAGCGAGGTATATCTAAAACTTCACTTTTCAGTCAAATTATGAAACATGCTTCTGATCTTAATAACCTTTAATAGCAACAAAAGGCATATAGAGAGATGCACAAATACTTAGATAGACTGAACTTTTTAAGAGTAAAGTTAACTTTAAGAAATCATGATTATGCTCTGGAACTGTGAGTCGAAAGTAAGGTAACTCTTGTTTTACTTTAGAATTATATCGGAGAATCTAATTCGGGTTTTTTTTCTCTCCAGGAGAATCAAGTGACCTTTTTATTTCCATTTTCAGATTCTATAAGTTTTTCAATAAAGTGCATAAAAGAGTCAACTTTATAAAAGAGTTATATTTTAATACTATGCTAATTTACAAAGATTGTTCATTAAAGTATATGAGCATCTTGTTCAGTGGTCATGGCAAACCGTTACCCTGGGAGTCGGCTTCCTGGCCTTTCTGTTGATAACGAGACACATTGTAAGTCTCTACAATATATATATATATATATATATATATATTATAGTGTTATTTACTTTTTTATTAGTATTTAGCTTGTCAAAGTTTGAAATTCTGAAAATTGAAACAGAGCTTGAAGAAACCAAAACTATTCTGGGTTTCAGCAGCTGCCCCCTTGACATCAGTTATTCTATCAACACTTCTGGTGTACTGTCTCAGAAATAAAGCTCATGAAATTGCAATTGTAAGAAAGCCCATTTTCATTAGGATTTTTAACACTAAAAAGGACATGAAATTCTAATATTTTCCTTCGTTTTCTTTTCTTATGACAGATTGGCCACTTGCCAGAGGGCGTTAATCCACCATCATCAAACATGTTATACTTCAATGGTCAATATTTAGCACTCACTATCAAAACTGGGATTGTTACCGGAATATTGTCTCTCACTGTAATGTCTTATACCCGGAAACTTTTTCATGTCCTAGAAAAAGTTTCTGATAAACACACAGACTAGAACATATAATCTTTTGTTTCAGGAAGGAATAGCAGTGGGAAGGACATTTGCTACACTTTTCAATTACCAAGTGGATGGAAACAAAGAAATGATGGCCATCGGAATCATGAACATAGTCGGTTGTTGTACTTCATGTTACGTCACAACAGGTAACGATTTTGATTCTACTTGTATGTATGACCAGTTGAATCTTAGTGCTTATGTGGTTTCACGTTGGAAACCATCAAACCTAAAACCAAACATGCTTTTTAGTTATATCTTGAAATCATCAGCAATGTTTGAGAAAATCTCACTTTCTGGTGTGAATAATAAACTTGCAGGATCTTTCTCACGATCGGCTGTTAATGTCAATGCTGGAGCAAAGACAACAGTTTCAAACATAATCATGGCTTCAGCTGTTCTAGTGACTCTTCTATTTCTCATGCCACTGTTTCGTTACACACCAAACGTTGTCTTAGCAGCCATTATAATCTCCGCTGTAATTGGACTAATAGATTTCCAAGCTGCATATAAATTGTGGAAGGTTGACAAGATTGACTTCTTAGCTTGTTTATGTTCCTTCTTTGGTGTGGTGTTCATCTCAGTACCTCTCGGCCTTGGCATAGCAGTAAGTTTTCTATATCCATTTAGATTAACTAATAACTGTCAGAAAAGGAAACATGTATTGATACGTTTTGTGAATGATAAATGTTCATTGGCTTGTTCAATTTGTGCAGGTGGGAATATCTATCTTCAAGATCCTACTCCATGTAACTCGACCAAACACTCTGGTTTTGGGAAATATTCCAGGAACACAGATATATCATAACCTAAACCAATACAAAGAAGCTTCAAGGATTCCTTCATTTCTCATCCTTGCTGTTGAATCACCCATTTACTTTGCTAATTCAACTTATCTGCAAGAAAGGTAAGGGAAGACTATTTGTAGAACTTCAAGTTCAATACATTGGGGATATACTTCTCTTTAGTAATTCTGGTGAAGAACTTGTCCTGTTTCAGAATACTGAGATGGGTACGAGAAGAGGAAGAGCGTGTGAAAGCAAACAAAGAAAGTACATTGACCTGCTTAATTTTAGACATAACAGGTATATTTTATGGACCAAAATTGTTACGCCTTTGTATCAAACTGACTTACCTAAAGTGGAAGATAGAGAAGAGAAGAGATAGATATATAATAATGAATATTATTTGTGTGTATTTCTCTCTACACTTCTCCCATAAAGGGATCCATGTTGAGACGTCATTTGTTTAAGGTTCCACGGTTATTCGGACTAACCATATTATTTTATCAGCTGTTACAGCCATAGACACAAGTGGGCTCGACGCACTTTGTGAACTTAGAAGGATACTGGAAAAAAGATCAATTCAGGTATAGTTAATATAGCAGTTCTTTGAGGTCGAAAGAATATAAAAATAACCAAATTTCCAAAAATAAGCAAGTTTCCTCAATGTTAGAATATGTTATGCAGCTTGTGTTGGTAAATCCGGTTGGAACTGTGATGGAGAAGCTACATCAGTCAAAAGTTTTGGAGTCTTTTGACGAGAAAGGACTGTATCTCACTGTAGCAGAAGCTGTGGCTGCCATTTCAATTCCTTGAGAAGCTCAGCCTCTTGTTCCATTTTAAGGACATAGATTGATAACTAACAACATCTTTAGTCAGTTGGCTCTGCAGAGATTCTGGTCTGTGACAGAATCCCAAAGTTTATGGGTTTGCGCTTCGTTACAGCAGAGACAGTGAGAGGCCTAGTCTCGATTCAGGAGTGATTCTTCTTTGTGGGTCAAAAGAAAAGAGCGTCCAACGGCCAACTGAGATATTTGTAGGGCTTCATTCCCATGTAAATTTTGAAAGAAATGGATGCATGGCAGTCTTTGTTTTAAAAGGAAAATAGAAGTTATGGTTACAGGAAGAACAAAACACATAAAAAAAACCAAGTCCAAATCACTCAAATCCTTACAATGCTGAAGGGGATAGTAAAAGGAACCAACGGAACGTTTTGCATTTAACTTTCTGTGTCAATGAGCACAATCGTTAGCCTCCCAATAGGTTTGATCAATTCTGGCGTTTCAATCCAATACAAAATCTCCTAATTTCTTTAGTTATGTTCTCTAGAGATAAGCCAACTGCTTTATATCACTGAGTGCCTTAGCAGCCACAAGCAGCTATTACATTTTTGACCCATCATTCCAAAATTCCAACATATCCTGAGTCCTTCCATAATACTCACTTCATTAAATACTTATTACGTTTCTAAACCCACCAGACCACCACTCTAACATATCTTAAATTCCTGATGCCTTCCAAAACACTTCTGATTTCAAAGATCTAATGAAGGAGATTACTTTGATATTAAATATAAGATCTTAGTTTACTTTACAATTTTTTATCCCAACTATACATATTAACTGCACATATTAAAAGGGGTATTTTTTATTTAAAAAATTAACATAACACATTTTTTTAATAAATAATTAACTTTACTAATTTTCTTAATATTTGTAAAGTAACTATTTAACTCTCGCATTTAAACAGAAGAGTAACAACTACCATTTGGTAAATTAATTCCGACATAACACAATTAGATGTGTCAACCTCCTTCGCGAACCCTTTAATGCAATTCTAAGTAGCATATAATCACAAGTCCTACAGTAAAAAAAATAACATCTAAAACTTATTTTGTAATTTTTTTTTTCCGTGGAACTTGATTATGATTCTCCCATTGGCATTTGACCAACCTTAAGAAGGTATGTATGGTAGATTTTAAGCTATAAGAAAAATATAAGAAAATTTAATAAACCTAACCATACTATATCATTCCATTTAGAATTATTTGATTGCTTCAACAATCAACAATTATTTACAAATCCGGCCGCAAAATTGAAACTAAATTAATATAATGAAGTTTATCAAGATACATGATCTCTTACAATAAATTCTAAAATTTTCATTTTGATCTATTATATTCAAAATTGTTACAATTAGGTATTAATCAAGACACCCACCCAAGGACACGTCATTTATCATTTTATTCACCTTTGAAACAGTCACCAGCTCATATTGGATCTCAAGCATATCAATCACTGGAAAAACAACCCTTACTTGAGAAGAGCAAAAATGGGTTTCTAAAAAGAAGTAAAACATTGTTCAGGAAAAACAGGAAGGAAAACCATTTTAGACCGAAAGAAAGAAGAAAATTTCTGACCATGAACACATCAACTTATTTCTCCACTACATATTATTCAGATACATTAATGTGCCTTCAAACAGTAATATTATGCACCTCCATGACTAAAAAACAAAGGCCACGATAGATGGATTATTTGAAGATGGAGGGAGATGAATTTAAAGGCAATGATGTTGTTAATATCCTGAATCCTGACCACACAATGCAAATTTTTATTCCTTAACAGCTAGGACCACAGTTTCAGAATCCTAAGTGACGGCAAAAACCAGCAATTACAAATATGTTTCATGTTGAAAACCACCAAAACGCATCAAACCAAACCATGGACTAAATCATATAAAAGAAAGACCGACCTTTTTTATTTTTTAAAAACCTTTGCCTTTGGTTTTTTGCTTGGGGAGTGGGGGAGTCACAGGCTATACAATAACAATAACAACAAGCCTTATCCCACTAGGTGGGATCGGCTACATGAATCACACAATGCTATTGTGTTCTGTCAACAACCTAGTCTTTAGATATGTTATTGACCAAGAGATCTCATTAACATATCATTGTCGCAGACTATCAGTATACAAAATTAACATACGCTTTTAAGATCATAAACAGATCAGAAAACTCACAGAAGAAAAGGAAAATGAGAATAAGGAGGAAAAGAATTACTTCCATTAAAGTTTTTGGTGTTTCTTGAAAAATGGTGTACTAGTCTAGTGGGATTATCTATGCTTTCTAAGAAACCAAGGAAGAATTCGTTGGAGAGGGTAATTCTTCCAGTAGCATGAATAATCATGCAATTCATGGGCTTTATCTGGGAGATCATCCAAATTCAAAGCATAGAATCAGGTGCGGTTATGATCCCCGAACACAACAATTCTTGATTTCAACTCACTGTCAATCAAACATCTGCAACGAACTCAGTTAAGTCAAATCACAGGTAAAGCAATGAAACTGATTTCTTGCCAATGCATCTATGTGTCCAAATAATCTTGGAGGTTCAAGAGGAAGAAAGAATTGCAGAATAGAACAACAAATTAACCAACATGGTTAGTTCAGTTCGATCAGAGAGAAAGAAAATCAGTTTACTCTGGATAAAAACAAAATTGAAATGAGTTCTAACATTGCAAAAATGTTCAGAAAGTGTAACAATAAGAATTCCAAAGGTAAAAACAAATTAAAAAATGGGGACAGCGGCAGTACAAAAAATGAGTCTATCGTCAGTGTATTCAATACACCAGGTTGACAAACTGATAATATTATTCTTTTTTAATGGCAACGCCACTGATATAATCACATTTGGTTAATGTAAGTACCATTTACCACCAAAACAAGCAGTGTTTTGCCAGGGACTGCCCCACCGAAGTCCAGTTCTAAAATGTTCAAAACGTTATTACCAAACACGCCAAGAGACCCGATCTGAAAAAGCATAATCATTGATCAAGATTGGGTCTCAGATATCTTAGGGCCGTGTAGGGTCAAGAAGTTTTAACCCAACTTAGCGGGGTTTGTTTGGCCAAAACCCTGCTCCAAATCTGACACTGTTACAGCCCAAATATGACATGAAACAAATAAAAGACATTTATAAGACAACATACCATGTGCATAGACAGATCTTCAAATGAAACACATCTCAATTAATCAACCATATAAATCAACAAAACCAGGTCAGCCAAACAGCCTTAAATGACAAGATTCTTACTTGAACGAAATCGTGTTATTGGTATCTCCCGGAGCTCACGTTTAATGCACAGATATTCACCTAACAGTGCCATGACAGCAACCCCAGTACCATTCACAATCCACCAAGTGATAGAAGATGGCCAACCTCCATACACAATGCATATAAAAAGATGGATGATATAGAGGGTGGCTGAAAAATCCAAACATTTCTTTGCCCTTTCAATTAAATAAAACATATATACAGACCTGCAAAAATAAGATTGTAGAGTAAGTACAATACAGAACAGCCATAAAAATTCAGGTCTACAAACCAATATAAAAGAGGCATACAAACCCCGTGACACCCCATAACTGCCACAAAGGCCTTTCTTCATCCCTCCTCCAAATACGAACCCAAAAAAAAATCATAAAACATCATAGAAGCATTGGATCTCCCAAGAAATGGGCAAATATGCCCCAAAATCCAATTATTGTTTATGTTTTCATTTCCTTATAAAGCTGTAATAGTGAGAAATTTTCAGTTAACAAGATATAAGCAAACATAAAGGTCAGCCAGGTCTGACAATCACAATGTTGATATTTAAATTCAACCTATTACAGTATGCAACTCTTAGAAAGATTGACCTACTGCAGGAAAAAATAACTACAGTTCATAGGCTATATTTCAAACAGAAGTGGCAGACATGTAAAATCCTAGTAAAAGATGGATATCCTTCTCATTCATATGTAACAAAGCTCCATGACTTGACATAACAGCCAATAATGTTTTAGAAAGTGGGAAAAAAAACCCGTGGTGTTTAAGTTTTCTTACTATACACTCACTAAAAAGATGTGGAAGACACCAAGTATCACTGTGAATAAATTACAAAAAAAAAAAAAAAAAAAGCTAAAATGAAGATCACCAAATACATGTCATATAACCAAACAGGAGAACCTACACATTTAAAGATAGCTATTTACAATAAATGAGACAATGTAATAGACAAAAGTAGAATAGATTGATACTCTTCCTTTAAGTTTATCATTAGAGGTGGCGTCTTCTTTTTTCCACTATAATATATTCCTATACCATTAACTGAATTTCGAACAAGGCGTAGGAAATATGCTAGTTTTGTAAATAATTAAAAGTAAAAAAGTGTCAGAAAAATATATCAAAGAGTTCATACGGAAATATTACATATTACAGAGGACTGAATATCGTGCATTTTAACCAAAACAGTCTGAAATTGAGCACAGTAGATAGAATTAATTTCAGAATGATAGCAATTATAAGCATGCAGACAAAACAATAAGATAAAGTTAAAAGAGAAGCAATACGAGTAATGCACAAGCTCAAGAAAATCCATATCCACAAAGTTCGATTTCACATCTGTATCATGGGAATTAGGTCACAAGCAGTTCAGATGAGCAGGAGAAGTTAAGAAATTAATGTGAAATGTTCATTATGGAGAATTCATATTCCAATAAATGATATGTCAAGGAGCATAGACACATACACTCAAAACTAACTGATTAACTATAACCTATTGACCAAAATATAATATATAATTTGATCAATTATGGCAAATTGATTACATAGTCATGAATTAGGATCACAATAACCTTATTGAGGCAAGAAAGTAAAGAATAATATTTACCCTGCAAAAGAGCTGAGCAGAAATGAGGCAATAACACACCAACCAGTAACCGTAGAGGTGGTGATGGTCACATAATCAAAGAAGTATACGAGGCTTAACCGAGATACGCGAGTCCCGACAAGTATCGACAAGAACAAGCCGAGAGTTATATAATATAAGCATTGAAGACAAACAATTTGAGCAACAATAAGCCAAGGGTCCCAGACCACCGCACCATAGAACATGACGGCAAGTTCTCAGACGCCTGATCTCCGAAACCTGAGGATGAAAATTTCCTATAAGAATAATTGAATCGTAACCACACAACTCATCCCCACAAAACACCTGAAATCTAAACAATTGAAGCTGGAACACTTGTTCTTCAGAAAAGTGATCGATTTTTAGGAACCCAAATTCTCATAAAGCATCATCATGCTTAGTTGCATTCAATCTTCAATTCCATTCATTGGATAGTTCACCATCCAAACCCGAACTCAGAAATATAGACGCTCAGATCCAGATTCCGGAAGCAATAACTGTTTAACAGCGAAACAAGTGCAAGAAAGTCACCAATAATTTCCCGAAGAAGGAAAAACATGATTGAATCACAGTAAACAAAACAGAAAAATATGAAAAGATTGCTACTTTCTTGCGGAGGTTGATGCAGCAGCGAATTCCTACAAATACTTTAGACAGGCTCCGGCCTCAAAAGAGGAAAATTTGAATGAATAGCTTGAGATCGAGAAGAAACAGAATATTTGAGATTTGGAAGGGTCTCTCCGGCTAGCGAACTTTTTACGCGAGATTGAATTGAGACTTGCGAGGACGATTTGCAGAACCTGACCAGAGAAACAACGAATGTGCTGTTTACTGTTATTACTCGTCGTTTTGAGAAATGTGAGATTTGGATGCGATTGCGGCCTCCATGGTTCCTAATTATTTGAATTTATATCTTTCTTATTCTTTTTTTAATCTAAATTGTTAATATTTGTATTATAAAATTTTTTATTTAAAAATATTTCAAATAAAAAGTAAAAAATTGATTTTTATATATTTATAAAAATAAAAGGATAAATTATAATTAAATTATTTCAAAAGAAACATTTAAATTTCCTACTTAGTGTTACTGTGGAATATTTTAAGTCTGCAAATATGCCAAGATCAGTTTAAAAAAAATGATAAGAAATTTCAAGCCAAGCCAATCATTTTGATGATTTATCTCATTTAATATTATTTGTGTTTCTTCAACTTGGATCACGCATTTATAACATAATAATTATACATGTGTCATCTCTTGCTTCTAGTGTCATCTGTAGTTTAATAATAATTATTTCCATCTCATTTCTTATTTGAAATGCTCACTCTATGATCGGTAGAAATTAATGAACAAAATACTACACCTTCGATTTTTAATATAATAGTCCCTTTACAGTGCAATTTCCATTAATAATTAAGCAGAGAATTACTCTTAAAAATATAAAATTGGCAGACAAAACACTTCAAATATAAAAACATCTGAAAATCACTCTATAGAAAATACCACCAAAGATGTGAAAAGAACTATTGAAGTGAAATGAGCAAAACCAACCAATTAAGATCCTTTAACACAAAAACTTGATTGATCTTCAAAAATGAGACAACAAGAACTGTTCTGCTCTTGCTTATTCCTGTATACAGATCATTTCACAATGTCTAATACGACTATGTCTCATCTATACACAAAGTGGTTCTATACATTTTCCAGTGACCTTGCTTTCACTTTACCCTTCATCATTTTCAACAACTTCTGAAGAACTAATCTTTTGATTCTTTAAGCTCAATATCTCACCCTTGGCACAATCTAGTTCCTCCTCAAGTTTATTTGCCTTGCTCTCTAAAAACTCTCTCTCCTGTCCAAGTTTCTTGATCTGATTCTGCGCATCTTCAAGATTTTTCTGGGTCTGTCTTGATGTTCTTCTTTCAACTATAAGAAGATTTTGAGCACCCTCTTTGTCACCTTGAAGGTTGAGAATAAGAGAGTTGAAATCCTTTAGTTGATTAAAGAGGAACTTTACTTTCTGGTTCATTACATCTAATGATTCGGTAGCCTCCTTCAGATTCATTTCGAGAGATTTTCTAAGCTCTCTCTCTCTTACCAATTGATCCTCCAGTAGTTGTACATCATCCTTCAAAGAAGCAACTAACATCTTCTCCACATTCAAATCTTTTGATGCGGTATTCAACTTGCTCGGGACAACACCCAGTTTTCTCTGCATGATAGCATTGTCCTTCAGAGCAGCTTTCAGTTCCTGGGTGAAACATTGGAGCTTGGCCTGTGAAATCTGCAGATCTTCCTTTGCAGTATTGAGCTCTTTGGTTAGGGTTTCTACTTTCTGTTGTTTATCATCATCAACCTTGTTTTTTATCAACTTCGAAACTTGAAAGAGGTCAAATGAAAGCCTAGAGATTCCAGATTCCAGGTTCATCAAGGTATTCTGTTCTCCACAGCTGCTTTGCAGGAAAGAAATTTTATCTTCCAGTACCATTTGTTTCCTTTTCATCTAATTTGAACATCAACCAGTAAAATATATAAATAATATTTCAGAACATAACGAAAACCATAATTCTAAGCATGAATCATAAGTTTATGATCGACAACAAACGAAGTTTTCAAAAGATTGGAGGGTAAGATTGTGCAGAAGCTCACTGTTTCTATAACTTCATAAGCTGCAGCCCTTTCCTTCCGGTTGAGTGCATAACCAAGAACTAGGCCTAGCAGTAAGGAAATTAATCCAAACGTAGCAGCTGGGGAAGGCTGATAGGTATATAATGATCTGGCCACTTGATCAGTTGCTATCTGTTCATACAAGTTATTACTCAGTTTAGAACACTTGAGAAAACCCAATGATAAAAGTATAATAACCCGTAATTATTATGAAATTAACAGAGCATTTGAAAACCTCAGTGTTTTGATTGTGCACTGCTGTCTTCACCCTGCCTCCTTCTGAGACAAAAATGATTAATTGCAGAAGTCAATGAAGTAAGTATATAGACTATTAAAGGATGAGTGCTCGTAATAAAATAGGTTCAAGAAAGCAAATCTTTAGTGCATATATATGTAGACATATAAATTCATATCCATTAAACGGATCAGAGTAACGATGCAGAGAGTAACTCACGAAACTAATTCCTGGAATATTTGGCAATAAATAAGGACAGACATGAAAACAGTAAGAAAGTTCTTCAGTGCATATAATATACTTGAAGTCATATTCATTATAACGCAGCAGAATGATGATACTGACTGCAAGATTCATCACAATGAAGGCTTAGAGTCATTCACCGAACTAAATTCCTGGAATATTGTAGCAAGAAATAAGAACAGACATGTAAATAGGAAGAAAAATCTTCAGTGCATACATACAAATGAAGCTATATTCATTAAACGGATCAGAATCATGATACCGATTGCAAGATTATTCACAATGAAGACCTAGAGGCAATCATCAAACTGATTCCGGAATACCGTGGCAAGAAGTAAGAAAACAGACGACATGGAAACGCTGAGAATCTTTGAACTCACTAATGGGTACAAGAGCATTGGGTCCCAATGCCGGTGGAGAAGGAAAGCGCTGGCTTGAGTTTTCTTGGCGGCAAAATGCTGCCGTGGGAACTCTGATTCCTCTGAACTTGCTCTCAGTCTGAGCATAGCTTGTGCAAGAACGAGATCGACCAGAAGAAGAAGAAGAAGGGAAGGGGAAGTAGAAGCAGGAGAATTGAAAACGCAAGAAGCATGAGGTTGCCATTGGAGGTGATTTTCTGGGAATGTACGTGATATCAAACAGAATGCTTTCTTTCTTCTGTTGCTACACACACATACATATATATATATGATCGTTCGTTAAGTTCCGCCCCTTCCATGTTGAAATACTTTGGTGGCAACGGAATGTAACCGAATTCTTTTTCCATTTTTGTGCAAGTTGTTGCCAAGTGAACACATAAGGAAGAGAATAATGTAAATCTTTTTCCCCTTTTTGGCCTACAAGAGAGTATTGTGATTGTGTGATATAAATATCATACATGATTATTTTTTCTTGTTTTGCTTATAGATACATTAGTAGAACGAGTATGAGCTTTATTAAGAGAAATTAATGACTCAATAATGAGTTTGTTGTTTTTTTTGGTTGGCGCGTAAATTTGTCCTGATTTATTTACGTTTGGAAAATGATTTACATTTTTAACACATTTAATAAATGTTAATTATATTTTTAATCTATATCATTCGCTTATTTATATATTACTCCTCTAATCCTTAATATAACACTTATTTAAATAATTTATTTAGATTAATAAAGTTAGGTAAGTTAGTTAATTATAAAAAATATGTCATGTTTCTCCTAAAACACTATAATGATCTTTCTTAATAGGCTCCTTTCTCCACTTACTTGATTATGGTTGAAAGAGTATCCATAGGAGTAATTCAAAAAAAATTAATAAATATGATAAATGGATCTTATATTTATGATTAAAATTAACTTAATAATTATGTCCTATATTAAGAACAAAATAGGCATAAACATAAATAGAGGACTACATGATTGGACTACAAGCACCCATGGAGGCCTAATAACAAATTTAAGAAAATGCTGTAATAGAAGTTGCAAATGCACCCGGCCCACGTTAGCATCAATCATCTTTCACGCCGGGTTTACTCTGCAATTTCTTTCCCTGCTTTCCCAATTCACATCCTCATCTTTTTCATCCTGAAATTTATTCCTTTGTGATCTAAAAATTACAAAATTTTCCCTATCTGGGAAGCTGCGATCTCTTCAAAAAGCTTGGAAATTTGGATTCTTTCATATCTGGGAAATAGCAAGCTGCGTTGTTTCTGGTAAAAGTAATGTGTCTTTGTTTTGGGCTCTGTTGATTTCGGGTTTTCTCTTGATTGGAGCTGTAGTTATTGCCTTTCTTTCCGGGAAAAATATTCCTTTAGAAAGAAACAAAAGTTGGTGACTTCTCTTGGGAAAAAATGTCACTTTTCTTTGCATGGTAAGTATTTGGAATATTGGTTGAAAGTTGATATTTGGTGATGATCTGGTTGTCCTGTAATCTTCTATAATCTCTACTCTTGAAAGAAAAAAAAAAAACCGGAGGAATCGAATCGAATTGAAACAATAAAGAAAAAGTACAAAAAGAAGACAACAAGAACTGTTCTGTAACTTCTGTTCTTACTAACTACTGTATACAACTCATTTCACAGTATCTATCTCTCAATTGTGCACAACGTAGGTCTATGCATTGTTCCGTGACCTTGCTTTCACTTTACTCTTCAACATTTCCAACAACTTTCTGACTCTTCAAGCTCAATATCGCACCCTTGGCAGAATCTAGTTCCTTCTCAAGTTTATTTGCCTTGCTCTCTAAATCCTCTCTCTCCTGCCCAAGCTTCATGATCTGATTCTGTGCATCTTCAAGATTTTTCTGGGTCTGTGTTAATGTTCTTCTTTCATCAGCAAGAAGCTTATGAAGACCCTCTTTTTCACCTTCAAGGCTGAGAATACGAGAGTTGAAACCCTTTAGTTGATTAAAAAGGAAATTTGCTTTCACCTTCATTAAACGTACTAATTCGGTAGCCTCCTCCAGCTTCAATTCAAGAGATTTTCTAAGCTCTCTTTCTTTTACCGCTTGATTCTCCAGTAGTTGGACATGATCCTTCAAAGAAGCAACTAACTTTTTCTCCGCATTCAAATCTTTAACGGCAGTATCCAACTCTCTCTGGACAAGACCTAATTTTCTCTGCATGATAACTTTGTTCTTCTGAGCATCTCTCAGTTCATCGGACACACTTTGGAGCTTGGCCTCTGATTTCTGCAGATCTTCTTCCTTTGCAGTCCTGAGCTCTCTGGTTTCTAGTTGTTCATCATCGTCAAGCCTGCTTTTCAGCAACTTTGAAACTCTTGAGAGTTTATCTGAAAGCTTAAAGATACCAGATTCCATGCTCATCAAGGCATTCTGTTCTCCATGGGTGCTTTGCAGGAGAGAAATTTGATCTTCCAGTTCCTTTAGTTCCCTTCTCGTCTAATTTGAACATCAACCAGTAAAATATGTGTAATATCTCAGAACATAATAAATAACGATTAAATTCTAAGCATGAATAACAAGTTTCTGATCAACAGCAAATTAAGTTTTCAAGAGATTTGAGAGTAAGATTGTGCAGAAGCTTACTGTTTCTATAACTGCATAAGCGGCTGTCCTTTCTTTCTGATTAACTGCATAACCAAGAATTAGGCCTAGCATTAAGGAAATTAATCCAAATCTAGCACTTAAGGAGGACTGAAAGGTATATGATGGTCTGCCCACTTGATCAGTTGCTATCTGGTCATACAAGTTATTACTCAGTCTAGGACACTTGAAAAATCCAAATGATATAAGAATAATAACTCGTAATTATTATGAAGTTAGCATCATTTCAGAACCTCATTGTTTTGGTTGCGCACTGCTGTCTTCACCTTGCTTTCTTCTGAAATGGAAATGATTAATTACAGAAGTCAACGAAATAATTATATAAATTACTGCTCGAAAACAAACTAGGTTCAAGAAAGGAAATCTTCAGTGCGAGCGCACACACACACACACATATATTACACACGCACGCACACAAAGTTATATTCATTGAACGGATGAGAATGATGATTCTGAGAGTCATTCACCAAACATGTTCCTGGAATATCATGGCAAGAAATAAGAACAGACACGGAAGCAGTGAGAAAAATCTTCAGTGCATATGTAGTTACAATCATTAAACGGATCACAATGATGATACTGATTGCAAGATTCATCAAACATTGTGGCGAGAAGTAAGAACAGACGAGATGGAAACAACAAGAATCTTGAACTCACTCGTGGGTACAAGAGCATTGGGTCGCAATCCCAGAGGGGGAAGAAAGCTCTGGCTTGAGGTTTCTTGGCGGGAACATGCTGCCCCGGGAAGTCTGATTCCTCTGAACTGGCTCTCAGTCTGAGCATGGCTTGTGCAAGAACGAGATCGACAAGAAGAAGAAGAAGAAGAAGGTAAGGAGAAGAAGTAGTGGGAGAGTTGAAAACGCAAGAAGCACGAGGTTGCCATTGGAGGTGATTTTCTGGTAATGTATGATATCAAACAGGATGCTTTCTTTCTTCTGCTCTCTCTCTCTCTCTCTCGCTATATATATATATATATTTATATATATATATATATGATCGTTCGTTAAGTTCCGCCCCTTCCATGTTGAAATGCTCTGGGTGTAACGGAATGTAACCGAATTCTTTTCCGTTTATGGGCAAGAAGTTGGTAAGTGAAGAGATATGAAGGGTGTGTTTGGGTTACACCCCAAACCATGGTTTGGGGAATAATCTACCCAAACACCCCCTCCAAAAACCAAAACCATGGTTTTGGAAAAAGCAAATTTTTTTTGTTTTTGGAGAAAAAAGGGAGAGTGTGAGGGCCTATATGATATGTATCTTGTTATTTTTTTTATAAACATATTTTTTATAAATATATTTAATCTTATATTTTATAAATATATATACACATTAATTATTTATTAATTATATTATCTTATGTATTATTAATTATGTTGGTAAAAAACATATTATTAACAATTTTATTCATTCAAATTAAAATATATCATAAAATCTATTTTTTCTGTAATTATCATATTAACTTATGTCTTTTTTTTAGTAATTTGTATATATAAAAAGTACTTCTGATAACAATTATCCAAACACTCTCACTTCTCAGAATCACTATTTTACAAAATCTATTCTTCACAGAATCTATTTTCTCCAGAATCTATTCTCCAGAATCACTTTTCCAAACCACGGTTTGGATTCATCCAAACACACCCAGAATCTATTTTCCCCAGAATCTATTCTCCAGAATCACTTTTCCAAACCACGGTTTGGGGTGTGTTTAGGTGACACCCCAAACCATGGTTTGGGGTGTCAATCACCCAAACACTCCCTCTAAAAACCAAAACCATGGTTTTGACTCCAAAACCATGGTTTTGGAAAAAGCAAATTTTTTTTGCTTTTGGAGAAAAAAGGGAGAGTGTGAGAGCCTATATGATATGTATCTTGTTATTTTTTTTATAAACATATTTAATCTTATATTTTATAAATATATATACACATTAATTATTTATTAATTATATTATCTTATGTATTATTAATTATGTTGGTAAAAAATATATTATTAACAATTTTATTCCTTCAAATTAAAATATATCATAAAATCTATTTTTTCTGTAATTATCATATTAACTTATGTCTTTTTTTTAGTAATTTGTATATATAAAAAGTGCTTCTGATAACAACTATCCAAACACTCTCACTTCTCAGAATCACTTTTTTACAAAATCTATTCTTCACAGAATCTATTCTCCAGAATCACTTTTCCAAACCACGGTTTGGTTTCATCCAAACACACCCGAAGTGTGCGTTTGGGGTGGGAGGAGAATAATGTAATTTCCTTTTCCTTGTGTGACATAAATATCATACATAACTATATTTTCTTTTTCTTTTATATACACAACATAACTATATTTTTTTGTGTGGCTTATGCATATATGAGTGGAAAGAATATGAGCAGTTGGTTTTTGGTGCATGAAATATTTAAATAATTTGAGTATATTAAAAAATCTAAATAAATGATTTAATTTTAATAAATGCAATATGATTTTTCTAAAATGTTCTTATGTAGCATTAGCTTATATATTAATTTATATTTAAAATTTAGATAAGTTATTTTGAAAGAAAAAGATAAATATAAGAGATAAAATGAATTAACTGCTTATATGTTAGATTAAATACAAATTTATTAACTGATTCTTATATTTAGAACAAGATGAGTATATTGTTTAGGTTTTTAAGGAGAAACTAACCACTTAATAATGAATTTGTTCTTTTTTATTTTTGCTGGCACAGAAATTTGTTCTGATTTATTTACTTTTCATGGTAATATTGTATTATTGTTAATTGAAAAATTATATATCCGTTAATTTTTTTAATAAAATTATATCACTTGATTGTTAAGTGATAATATGTGACTCTTTAAAATCAAAACAGTAACTGAACTTTGTATTATACTTAATTCATTTGATTTTTTAATATATTTTTATGAAATTTCTAAAGTAAGCCGTTGCTTATTTTTGCTTACCAACTGGCTAAACTTTCTCATTATATTTTCTTTTAAAAAAATTTATGATATATATTGATATTGATTTTTACACAACAATGATCAACTACCAACTTACCCTAAGAAGGCGGTGGATAATGATCTGATGATAAGCACTAATATTTTACTGATGTATTTGTTTAACATTCTTTTTGTTTGAATTATTTAGTGTCTATTAAAAATAATTTAATAAATTTCAGTTTATGTCATATTGTAATTTTATTTAAAAAAATTTCATAAACAAAACTGCAAGTCTTAAGCAAATTACTCCCTTCTAATTCTTTTTAGAAGAGAATTGTTTGGGGTTTGGGATCATTTATTCCTAAGATATTTATGATCAATTTTCATTATTTCTCATTAATTATTATGCTAATATTAGTTGTTCGGACTCCATTAATTATTCATGTGGGCTTGAACCATTAATTCATGAGAAAGATAGATTTATTCGTGGAAAATGATTTTCATTTTTAAAATATTTATTTTATTTAATTATATTTTTTATTATACGGAGGAACTGTGATTGGACCACAGGCCCCCATGGAGGCCTAATAACAACATAAGCCCAAATCAGATATAAGGAATCTGCAAACAAATGTCCAGCTCCGAGCAACAGGACAATTTGAGAGAAATATGAAAATGTCGTGATTGAGGTTGCGAATGCACCCAGCTCACGTTAGCATCAATCGTCTTTGTCGCCGGGTTTACTCTGCAACTTCTTTCCCTACTTTCCCAATTCACATCCTCTCCTTTTTCATCCTGAGTTTTATTCCTTTGTGTTCCAAAAATTACAGAATTTGCCTATCTGGGGAGCTCCGTTCTCTTGAAAAAGTTTGGAAATTTGGATTCTTTCATATCTGGGAGCTGTCAAGCTGCGTCGTTTCAGGTAAAAGTGATGTGTCTTTGATTTGGGGTTTTCCCTTGATTGGAGCTGTATTTATTGCCTTTGTTTCTGAGAAAAATATGTCCTTAGAAAGAAACAAAACTTGGCGATTTTACTTGGGAAAAAAATATCTTCCCTTTGCGTGATAATTAGTTGGAATATTGGTTGAGAGTTGATATTTGGTGATGATCTGGTTGTCCTGTAATATTTTATGACCTCTACCCTACGAAAAACTAGAAAAAGATCTTGGGGGCTGATTCAGGAACGTGAATCATTGAGTGGGATATTGGAGTTAATGATCTTGCTGTCTTGAAGGCTTGTTGTTTGAAGCTAGGAGCTACTTGCTTTACTGTCTCTCTGGAGAAAAATATTAGTTCTGTGGCTTCACTTCCTTGCAATTGTATTTTATTCCGAAATGGATGACACTGAGGATGATGCAAAGTATGCTCCTGACCCATACGATGTAAGTCATCACCAAGGTTATGGTTATTTGAATAGTCAGAAACTTCCAGTTGGGAGTTCTCAACATTCTGAGCCAGTTAGAAGTGAGTATGCTGAAGATGATAATGATTATGAGGAAGAAGACAACGGAGAACATATAGAACTGGAGGATGATGATGAGGAGGAGGAGGAGGAGGATGATGAGGTTGATCAAGGTAACAGCATTGAAGTTCCCCAGAAAGGAGGTGATGACAATGGTGATGACGAAGAAGATGATGAGAATGGGGATGGGGATGATAGTGATAATGACTTTGCTGCTGGTGCTGATGATGATGATGATGATGATAAGCAGAAAAGTTACACCATAAGGATTGAAGATGATTTAGAATCTCACCCAAAAAAGAGAAAGCTGAAGAGTTTGATTTCAACTTATGAATTTGCACCCCGTGTACCTGCACCAGCAGTTGCAGCCCCTTCAGCTCCTAAACCGTCCTTTGGTGGCAGAAATTCCCTTACTGACTGGACTGAGCATGAGACATTTGTTCTTCTTAATGCTTGGGGTGACCGGTTTATTCAACGTGGAAAAAAGAGTCTCCGGTCTGAGGAATGGCAAGAAGTAGCAGAAAGGGTAAAAGAAGTTTCAAAAATCGAAAGGACAGATACTCAATGTAGGAATAGACTTGACACATTAAAGAAAAAGTACAAAAAGGAGAAGGCCAAATTAGCAGAAATGGGTGGTGGAACTAGTAAGTGGGTTTATTTTAATACAATGGATAAACTGTTGTCCTCTCCTCAACCACAAGCTGGTCTATCTTGTGGTTTGGACTCAGGAGATTACGTCTTCTCAAACCCTCGAGTTTATTTGAAACGTGCAAATGTGTGTGATGAAATGAGGGATAGTCCAGGGAATTCAGAGTCTACTGGCGAAGAAGATTCAGTTGGACTTCAGCCAAAGAAAAGAAGTTCTAGAAGGAACAATGATGAGACTTCTTCCTTCAAATTACTAGCTGATTCCATTCAGAAATTCAGTGAGATATATGAGAAGATTGAAAATAACAAAAGGCAACAGATGGTGGAACTAGAAAAGATGAGGATGGAATTCCAAAAGGAATTGGAGATGCAGAAGAGGCAAATTTTCGAGAAAGTGCAGAACGAGATTGCGAAACTGCAGCAGAGAGATGAGGAGGAGAATGATGAATCTGCTGAGAACGGTATGTAATGTGATGTTTATACATTGTAGTTCTGTTTGTTATGTTGCATTGTATGTAGACGGCTAGCTGTTGTACTTGGTATCATATTCAGGGTGTTTTGCCCCCTTCAAATTTATGATAAGGCAAGACTTTTGCCATGAATGTTACATGTCACTGGAAAGAATACCGAAAACTGAATAGTTAATACTGTATTTTTATTACCATATTTAGGTTCATTTATAGCCTCGCCTTTTGCTTATTTCATAAGTAATTGCCTGTTGTTGGCTTATTATGGGAAGGTTATTTTGACATTTCAATCTTATTTGTACAATATAGATGCTTCTTTTGCAATTATTCTGATTTCCACTGCCTTTACTGGAGTTTCCATTCTCTGTGAAACTGTCCATAACTCTCTGGATTAAATGAAAAGTTGTCAGCTTCTGTTGAGTCGAATGTCATTGCCGCAAGAAGAGACATTGGTAAAAGAAACAGGCTTTTACATCCCTACTTCTTAGAAGAAGAAATGATCTTTGAAGACGTAGCTGATGAAATTGAATGCTAAGGTGGATCTGTTTGGTTCATAGAAAGTTTAGGGATAGAATAGAAATGGAATTTTTTTGCTTTGATACAACAGATATGGAATATTTATTACTATGAATATGTCTTCGTATGATGCTAAGAATATGGGAAAGAATTTTTTCTTCAGTATTTTATTTAATGAAAATAAAAATGAATGTACCAAAATGCCCTCAGAATAGGAAGAGTGAGAGAGAAAGAGTGGAGAGGGTATAGTTGTGTAGATGAGAGGAATGGGATTGAATATTGAAAGTATCCTCATTCCATCAAATCTAATAATGAGTCTCTCCTTGAGAAAGATGATTCATGACAAAAGAGACAAACCAAAAGGACTAGATGTGGGAATGAAATCTTAATTACTAAGAATTAGGTATGGAGGAATTGAACCAAACGGTTCTTTAAGTACCAGTGCTATGCAAATAATTCTGTACTTTTTATTCAACTTCACCAATTCAAAGATTTTCAACTTTAGAGGATCTGAATATGCTCTTTAGTCTCATCATGTGATATGGTTCTATATCTTGTTTTAATCAAAGTAGACTCCTTCACAGGTTTAAAGGACATTTAATTCAGTCAAGTAGCCTTTTCAGATTGTTGAAAGGGTAACCCCCAAGGTAAGCTATGACTCAGTTTGATATATATGATAAGAAAAAAGAATGAAAAAAAAAAATCATACGGAATGTTCTTTGGGGAAAATCAAAAGATTGGTCGGAAATTATCAGTAAATGCCTGCCATAGCATGTTTGTTGATTTTCAAATGTTCATTCATGGTTTAACTTCTGACTTTCTTTCATGGCTCAGATTTCCTAAAGAAAGGCTTTCGACAGAGCAAAATGGGAAGTTTTCAATTTAATGATCTGTTTTGTCCGTAAGATGAGATGAAATGAGGCAGAGCACAAAAAGAAAAAAATAATTTTATGGATAAGAAGTATAATGTTTCCTCAAAGGGAAACTAATGACAACAACAACGAATGCTCTTAAATAATAATAACAACAACAACATAAATATGATGAGTACTATAACTGGATATTTTACTCGTGCCATGCTAATCTGCTGCATCTCAAAGCTATTTCTACTTTCTTTCTTCCGCTTACAAGTGAAAGCACGTCAGGCACCAACAAGAGCTTTTACCAGAATAATAACGCATTTTTTAATGTAAATTTAAACCATTTTGCAGTTCCTTTCAAGTTAATTTTCCCGTTAATTGTTTTTTCAAGAAAAACCGATTCGTGCTAGAAATAATAATCTGGCTGAAAATGAACATTTCATATTCATACAACGTTTGCAAGAACACACATATCAAACGAGGCAATTTATCTTGAAAATTTTCTCTTTCTCCCTCTCATTCCTTTTAAGCCTTCAAATAAGCACACGAAATAGTGTCACGGATTGCTTTTCCATGACGCTGTTAACAGGTGCGACGTGATTGTAGAAATTCAAATCGCTTTTTTTTTTTTTTTTAACTCCGGTGACAAAATTTTGACTTTGCTATCTCGAATGAATAACTAATATACTTCCCAGCCTCCGAATAAGATATTAACTGTTTTTTAATTAATATATTTTCAAAATAAGACATTGGTACAAAAAAATGATACAAAAATTCTTTTGCTATCTTTCTGATCACCTTTCTTCATCTGATATTCTCCTTGTTTTAGAATTATTTATAACATTTGTTCGCAGAATAAAGAATATATCAGACAACGTAATCACGATGCACTTACAGGAGAGTAATGGAAGTAAATTCGTTGAAACACAGTCGCATTTTTAACTTGAGAAATCGTACACAAATAACCTTTTCCTACAGAGAATTGGCCTCTCTTACTGTCACTTGAGAAAAATAGACAACTAGCATTATGAATTTCCCTTCCAACGTTTCGTTCAAGGAAAAAAATTTGGATTCCAAATACCGTCACAACAATAATAACTAAATATCTGCAACCACCCAACGGAGAGGACACTAAACCAGACATCCCAGTAGCCACTCTCAACCCCACCTCATTCACATTCTTGTACAAAGGTCTGAGAGACTAACAAGAAATATTATGCAGCGCCTGAATTTTCTGACTTGTCAGCCTCCATTGGTTCAGTAGATGTTGGTGGGGCCTGCTCTGCGTTGTCACCTGCATTATCATCTCCCTGAGGTTGCTGCTGCTCGTCACCCTGAGGAGGCGGTGGTGTTGCTGTCGCTTCAGGAGTAGCCGGCTTGGCTGGCCTTGGTTTTGTCATAATTGGCTTACAGAACCTGTCAAAACAGCCAGTTGAGACCGAAACGAATGAAACATTAATGGCACGGGAAAAGTTGCCTTGCAGCAAAAGAGAGGGAAATACACAATAAATAAGGAACTTTAAGAGCACGTTCGATCCTCCCCAACTCCAGAAGTTTACGTGCAGCAATTGGGTTCAGTCCTCAAATCAAGGACATTTGATTTGATATTAGTGACACACTTCACAGTGTCAGACAAAGAACTCAAACCTACAGTAGACTGCTAAAGACGTTTGATCAAATGCAACGGCCAAATGAATATAAGCATGTTTTGATTGCACCTTGAGAAGCTCGTCCAGTGAGCATTATAAAATGCATTCAAGAAAACCACAGAAAAGGATCACAAGAAGCGTGGCAAAAAGCGAGCACAGAAACAGCGTACAAGCAGGAGTCCATGGCATCTAAAACACCTGAACAGAATGCCACCAAACCAACAGCATGAGCAAAATCATATACCTATCGACTGCCTCAGCTTTCTTTCTTAGTTCAGCTGAGAAGAGTACAGGGGTAGCATATTTTGGAAGAGAGTCCTGCTGCTGATGCTTCTCCCTAAGCCAAGCCTCAGCTTCGACACATTCATTCAGGACCTGCAAACAAATAATTAGATAAACACTTTCAAACGCCAATAACAGAAACATGTGCGCATAAAAATAGACAATTTACCTTCTGTTTCTCAGAGATGTCAATGTGATCAAATTTGGGATCGTTTGACATTGCAGCTTCCCTGTAGCTAGTTATACAATAGACCAACTGATTGATTACTGTGCCCCTCTCCATGTATTCCTTGTACCGTTCTTCAATAGGATCACCTTGCTGAAATTGGATACGAGTATCTAATTAGATTGCAAGTTGAAGCTAACATGAAAATGACTCTCTGCTAGTCATTTTTGTGCATCACAACAAAGGTAAGGATGACTTTGTACTTTTCCTCTCTCTAACTGTTTTCCTTTTTTTCTTCTTCTTCTTTTTTTTGGGGGGGGGGGGGGAGGTGGTTTGTGCAGGAGAATCGAAGCTTTAATTTCTCAAACTCTTTCTTACCTTCTTAAGTTCCTCAAGTTTGGCAACATAAACACCTTTACTTTCATCCTCCCCTTCTTCATATAACCAGTCTTCCACCTCCTGAAGTCTAGCAGTAAATGCCTCTCTCTCTGAATCAGTGACAAACTCATGGTATTTGTCACTGAGCTGAAGTGACAAAAGTAAAATTAGTTCCAGAAATCATCAAAAGACAAGCATCTCCATCAGATGTAAGGAAGAATATCTCCACCTTGTTCCTCATGTCATAAACATAAGCCTCAACAGCATTCTTCTTTTCTTTTGTTTCTTCCATCACTCGATCTTGCAAAGCCATTTCAAACTCTTTCTCTACAGCTTTCTGGACATCAGAACGACTCATCACTCCATATACCAACTCTGTCACATGTATGCTTGTTTTCCTGACCTTTTTCTTTGGAGCCTCAGCCTGCAATTGAAAAACATTTGGAAAAAAAGTGTCGGTCAATTTATAACATATTAGTTAATCATGCTTTAACAAGTAAAGAGCATAAAGTAATACATTGCACAGTAGAGTAGTTAATGTGAAGAGCAGACTTAAATCCCACAAAAAAAGGAATTCATATTAAACATCCATTACAAAAAAATTCAATCACAAGGAAAATTCACAGTAAAACCCAACAACGTAAGCCTCTATTAGTAATTGTTCAATAAGAAAAAGCACTACATTATTAGCATGTGGATTTGTTTAGATAGCTTTGCGTGCAGCATTGTCAGGTTGCTTATCAAGGATAAATCAACTATGTGAACTCATAACACATTTTACAACTTGATGATGATGCAGAATGCATGGTAAGATAGAAGAGTGGTGAACAAATTAATGTAAATCAAATTAAAAAGTAAAATAACTCTTGTAAAAACTTTTGAATGGTAATATCCATGGTACCATAATTGCAAATGTCATTCCCCGGAATTCAAACTTGGTGAAATTGAAATCTCTCAATCAATTTGTCCATAAGCTCATAATTATAAATATCCTAAGCAATGTCCTTCTTGTTATCAAAAGCAAGCCTTGCAAAATTTATGACGTAAAGATTGCAAGTTGCTGAAAAAAACCTGACTATAATGGTGGGAAAATGCATAGGATAAAAAGAGATTCAATAAAAATAGCATAGGGGAAGGATAAAGTGGAGGTGTAATATAAGGTGTAATATAACAGTAAGTTAACATAAACAGAAGGCAAATCCTAAACTGTTAGTGCCTTCGTCCAATGGAGCATTGCACAGATGAGTCATTGAGGCTGTGAGAGAGATGATCAGGCACAAGGAGCTATGAAGCATTAAAAACACACCATTGAACATTGATTATATTTGCCTGTGGCACAACCATATGAGAATTTCAATACCACATCTGTGCCATTGTCCAACACGCCATGGTGCACCATTGATAATATGACCTCACCATACTACCCACAATCACCAAGCATTCTATTTTTAACTGCCAATCTAAACGAGTTGCATTTTATACTGTCAAAGCCTCCAGAATTCAGAAAGCCACAAGATACTGATACAAGATCACAACAACAATTATGATCTTATTGCAAATTCTGAAGTAGCTTTAATTAAAATCAAAGATCTGAAAATATACTGGAATATTCCAGTTATCAGTACCAACCTTAGCATTAGTATCCATCTGCACAGGCTTATCCACAGTCTCAGCTTTACCATTTTCCACCCCAGGGACGTCAACAGTTGCCTTGGCATCTTGCATATCAACATCGCCATCACTGGAACTTGGAGGTGCTGCAGCGGCCTCAGCCGCAGCAGCCGCCTCCTCTGTTGCAGCCTCAGCAGGAGCTTCATCAGTGTCCATCTTGGCACTTTCTTCGGCTGGTACTTTGACCACTGGAACCTCAACTTCCTCTTCCTCTAGGAGCTAAACAGAATAAAGAAAAGGTTAAACCAAATGAACAAATGTTCTACGCTTTACTCTGGTAACCTCGTAATAGAAGGCAAAGAACAGGCAGAAAATTAGAAATCACAACCACAAGCACCCTCAGGCTAAAGAAACTTACAGTTGCCGACTCAACAGATACAATTCCATGCAGATTCAATCGTACTTTGACTTTAATTTTTGCCTTCTCAACTTTTGTAGTTGGCAAAGGACCAATCTGCATACAATCAAGGGTCAAAAAACACCCAAGAGAGAGGATCTACATAATATATGAAGGATCAAATGCCTTACAGTATATGTGCTGATCTTTGGAGGTGTCTGCAGCTCACTCACATCAGCATACTGTACATCAATAGAAAATGTTTCCCGCCTATAGAATGTCAGAGCCTTGATGCTTGGTATGACATTTCCTTTAGCGAATACAACAGTACTCATCTGATTATCTGGTCCACTCTCCTGTAGATCTGGACCAGAACCTTTCCAAGACACAGAAATTGGGAAAGGAAAGCTTTCATTGACCTTCATATTCATCAATAGAGATATATCAGATGGAAAACCAAGCATTTCAACAATACAGTGTGCACTAAAACTACAGAACGGTAGACATTAAAGAGCATAATAAACGCTAACATAATAATTCCTGAAAGCCTGATTTAATAAACTAAATAGAACATACAATTTCAATTTGAATATTAGAAATGCTTCAGTTACTCATTCCTAACAAAAGGAGGAAATAGGACTGTTTAAAAAAAAAAACAGACAGAATGAGACTAGGATATGAGCTCTTGTTTGAAAAATAAAAAGAGAAGGGGAAAATACGGAGGTAGAAAAGTAGATTCGAGTGTTTAAATTTCCTCTTTATTTATTTTTTTTTTGGGGGGGAGGGGGAACAAGGCATTCCTCCTGTCCTTTCCACTCTCAAATACGGAGAGGACCAAAAGGTGGTGGGGTTGCAGAGGAAGGACAGAAAATTATTCCCCTCCAACACCTAATTCTTATAAGCTTCATCAAGGGAAATCATTTCCTTCCACCAATGCCCCCTTTTTGGGGTGGGAGGAGGGGAAATTGTGGCAGCAGGGGGAATCCAAACACACTGGATAGGCCTAACTGTTTTACAGAGGCAGATACCGGAGAAGCAGAGACAAGATCAAAATGAGCATGCACGACCAATTTATAACACATCTGGCAGGCGCCTAAAACATCATAAAGAGTGGAGAAAAAATCACCTGAAACTCCCGTACTTTAAATGTCGGACTAAGAATAGCACATTGCAAGGCGCAACCCTTGGCAACACACTCACTTGCATTCATTGTCCGCCTAGGCTCCTTCTTGAAAAACTCTGTCAGTATCTTGTTTATAGCTGGTACACGAGAAGCTGAACCAATTACCTCAACCACATGTACATTCTCAGCTGTCAGACCTGCTTCTGCAAGAGCTTTCTCCAAAGGTTTTTTAACACGTTCCAATATTGGCACACTTAATTGCTCAAATTCATCACGCTTAATGAAGCCCCTGACATCTTTCTCGTCCATTAAGCATTCAATGGTAAGAGGTGCTCCAGGATTCGCACTAAGAACCTTCTTCAGCTTCTCACAAGCAGCTCTCAGCCTTAGACAAGCCCTGGCGTTCTGGAAAACATCAATCTTGTACTCTTCCTTGAACTTGGCGGCAAAGTGATGGAATAAAACTTCATCAAAATCCCTACCACCTAGAGATCTATCAAACGAATGAGCCAGTACTTTCAGCTGCCCCTTCTTAAAGCCAGCAATGCACACTTGCATGCTGGCATGTCCAACATCTACAAATGCAACATTTAGCTGATCATTTTCAGGGAGATCTGTCTTATAAATTCCATATGCCAAGGCAGTCGCTGTTGTTTCATGAATCAGGCGAAGTGGGTGCAAACCAGCAATGGTAGCTGCATCCAAGACTTCCCTTCTCTGAAGATCAGTGAAATAAACCGGAATTCCAATGCAACAGTCAACAACAGCTGCATTCAGATTCTTCTCAGCTATGCCTTTGAGATTTGACAACACCATTCCCAACACTTGTGTTGGTGTAAACGTTTTATTTTCACCCAAATACCGTGCATGAATTAATGGATAGCCATCAGGCCCTTCAGTTACCACAAAAGGCAATGACTTCAGATCCCGCTGCAACTCTGGATCAGAGAATTGTCTACCAATTAGTCGCTTGATCTGTGAAATTGAATTCTTTGGGTTCATCATTGTAGATGCAGCCCCAGCTGTTCCAATAAACCGTTGTTTGTCACCAAAACAGACAACTGCCGGAGTTTCTCGTTTGGACTCATCATTGAGCACAACATCAATCCCTCTCTGCCTCGCAACAGCAACAATACAGCTCTCATTACCAAAATCAAAACCGACCACGCTCATTGTCGCAAAAACTGAATTGATCCGTCAGAATTAGGTCTGCCAGCCAAGAAGAATACCTGGACCCCAAAAAAATAATTATATTTACCTCTCATATATGTCCAGTAAAGTAAGTAAACTGAGGAAAATAGAAATGACTATGCAGACATAGAGAGAGTCGTTTAATCGATAGTAAAGAAAGGTTCGTACTACAAGTGGAATGGCTATTGAATGCCTCATAGAGTAGTCAGCATATTTGTCTGAGGGGAGGAAGGTGTTCTTAATTACTTTATAATGACGCGATCACATGCCTAAGAGATTCAGTAAATGTGATAGCGCCAACATCAGTAAGAAATTGCCAACATCAAGAAGCATAGCACGTAAATAGCAATTTTTAAGCAGGCAAATATACCAGTTAACGTGCTTAGTACTCACATCAAGTCCATTCAATAAAAAACGAGCAAAAGGAAAAATGAAAACTTTGAACTAAATCCTGCTCCCACCGTACTTCCAACAACCAACCAGAAAATGCAATGCATAATACCAAGTGCCACACATGAGGAAGAAAAAGGATAAGATTAAAACTTCCAATGAATGCAGACATTATCAGATGCGACCAATGATTAATTATACAGCAAGTCGACAAAGTCCAAGCACAATGCACACGAAGACATGAACACGACGAAGTCACAGATCTACAATCTCAAGAGGGATCAAAGTAACCTAAAGCAACATGAATCATGTAGAAATAGGAATAGGGCTTACCTGGCGTAGCGATCCCAGAGATGAGGAAAAGGTAGGAGGTTCTGGAACAATCTGAAACTTTAGACGACAGAAGGACCAACGAGTCGACCAGACTTATAAGAAGGCCGGGGGAGGATGTGTGGAGGGCTTTGTACGGAGATGTTGAGTTTTATTTTTTTTAAAAAAACATTTTTTAATTATAGTTTTTAAGTCATTATCATAGTGTTTTACTTTTAAGAGAAAATTAATAATTTGTGGATGTTTATTTAACATTTAATTAATTTTTTTCTTTTTTATATTGGATTTTTCATTTTTACTCACAAGTATCTTGTTAAGTAGTCTATTGTGATGCTTAATGACTTGAAAATTATCACAGAATATAAAGGACATATATGCATTCAATATCTTTACATTATTTTTCAAGTACATTTAATACTTTGATTTTATTTATGGTATATCTGATATTTTAATTTTATTTTTTTATGCATCTAATATCCTAATATTATCTTCAGGATACATCTTTACCCAAATATAAAATAAAAGAGATTTTTTGAGAAAAAAAAATGCTCTGCCTTTGCATCCATATACAGATGTCTAAAAAATTCCAAATATTACAAATATTAAGCGGAAATTATGTCATCATTTCCAGATACATGTTAAGTGAAAATTATGTCATCAAATATTAACATCATTGTTTTAAAAATTAATAAATTATGACTATAAGAATGCATTAAAAGTTAAAACAAGATTAGAATACGATTTAAAAAAATATAAAACTTAATTAAAAGTGGAATGAAATTAAAAGGGCTTGTATGTAAAATTTCACTTCTTTTAAATTCCACCTTTGATTTTTTTTTTTAAAAAACAATATTTTAATTGCCGGCGGAGATCTGCTGATCTGCGTGCGGTCGGTTGGATATTCACACGTTGTATTGGTACTGGACGGGGGATATCTGGAGAATGACGCAGCCCTTCTGGAAACATCTACAGCTGAATTCCCCTATGTTCAGAGTCACCGGCGGTTAATGTCTCCTTTTTAAACTCAGGAAACTAAAAAAATTCATCCGGGACAAAACTATATTAATTCTTAACTAAACACATAATTCAAAAAGTTATTCAAATTCTAGTATTTTAAAAAATTATCTGCTTTAATGAAGAGTAATTAATTAATTATAATCATTACAAAATATTGACATCAAATTTAATTCCATTTCTTCTATGTTATTGAGCGAGGAAATAATTAAATCAATATATCAATTCAATATATAAATATATATATATCAGCTTAAAAAATATATAAATATTTAATATTTAATATGTTTAAAATGATACTATTTATGATCCTTAATATAAGAGTCAATTCATTAATTCGAAGAGTTTAAGAAAGTTTGTTAAGTTAATTATTTGTAACAAATAAATACTATCTTTTCTAAAATATCATCACGCTAATTATATGTATTAGTTAGAACTATCATTTGGTGTAACTATAACATGTGTAACTATTGTAATAACTACTTTAAAAAATAGATAAATATGAGAAATAAAGTGGATTAAAGTCTTATATTTAAAATTAAATTAAATGTCAAACTAATTTTTTATATTGAGAATAGGAGGTAATATATAGACTTTATAAATTATAAGCGGTATAATTCTAAAATTTATGGTATTAAAATTTAACTTGGGTGACCAGTTAGATCACTGAACCAATTAATCAGTTCCTTGATCAATCTGGTTTTTTTTTTTATGAGACGATATTGCTTTTTTGTTTGCCAACAAAGATCAAGTTATTAGTTAAGAGTTTTGAATAAGTTACCTGAATTAAATTTTATATTTTTTTCCTCCCTTCCTCAAGCTTGAAATGACGTTGTTTTGAATTAAGAAACCAAAGTAACATAGTAGTATCAGATTTGTGATTTAATGACTGTATTTTATTAGATTAGATGGTTTTTACACATAAATATTCTATTTACTTATACTTTAATTTTATATTTTTACTAAATTATATTATTTTTATTATGACGAGTCTAATTTTGAATTAACCTCAATTTGAATTGCTGATTCTTAAATCATTATTTTGACAGGTTATTTTTTAGTGCCTTACTAAGAGCTAGATAAACCTCCATTGAAAATTAACTAAAATTTTAAAGAAAAAGTCATCAGGCAACACAATTCACCCAAACACTATATATTTGAACCTCCAACTAGTTCTTTTTTTTCTTGAGTGTTTGGAATAGCTTTTGACATAAATGGCTTCTAACTCGAGTGACTTTAAAGTTTAAATTTACCGTTACATTGCGTTCACTTTATTTACCACTAGTATTATCCAGCATTAAATGCTTCTCAAAAAATCTTGACCTGCCCAAATTTTCTTCTTCCGTCTTCCCTCGTGCACCTTCGTGTTTGTTCTTGATTTCTCTCTTTTTTCATATAGCTAGCTTTATCTGTGACCTTGTATTGGAAAAAATAAGAAAAACCTTTCTTTTATCCTTTAAGGCCTAATTAGAGACATTTATTCCTCTAAAACAGAGAGAGAAGATATTTTTTAGTCCTATTTATAAGATAGTGAGAGAAAATTTTTTATATGCACTACTATAAAAAAAGAGCTTTTACGATATTAATTTACAGTGGTTATCACGGAAAATGCTGTAAAAAAATGATGGTGACATTTTTATAATTATATAAAAGCAAATTTTACTTTTCATAGCAGTTATTCAAAAAACCGCAATGATAAGTGCTTTTTACTTTAAAAAACTGCTTTAAAAAATTTATCAGACAAACTTCTCCACATATTTACCTCGTACACCGTAAAAGCACTTTTAAAACCATGGTTTGGTTTCCATCCAAACACCCTCTTATCCATTATGCAATAGTTTTTCACTTTTTACGGTCATATCTCATGGTCCCCTAACTATCGTCCCCACTCAATTTTTTCCTTCCTCCTGCCTTTGTTGGCGTTTATCTTTTACTTCTATTGTCTCTGCCTTGTTCTTCCATCACCGTCACCATCGTCGTCGTCACTAACACATCATCCTCTTCATCTTTATTTGTGAGTTTTTCACTATTTTTCTTTTGTTCTTTGCGGGGGGTTCTTTCCATATATTTCATAGTTTTTATGGTTCGATCATTTTCTTTGATTAAAAATATAATATTTATTCTGAGTTTAAATAGATTTTATTTTTGTTCCTCTCCTTGCTTAAACATACTTTGATACTTGAAAGCTTGAATAGATCCAATTTTTGTCTCCCTCATTTTGTAGATCAGAGTTTAACATCCTGAAATTCATGAATTTTATCAGATATGGGTCTTTGATTTTACCTCATTAAATCTTAGTGGTTTCGATTTCGTGGTTAAAGGCAAAGCTAAGTGCTATAGCTAGAAAGGATCTACTTTTGCTTCATCACAATGCTTTTGATTAGTGGCAAGTTATTGGTTGATTGATTCTCAAACTCCTTCCTTTAGGGCTTTGTTCCCTCATTCTATCCTAATGAACAGGATGAAAGGGAAACTAAAAAGACCAACAAAAAAAAACTTTTTCATGGTCACATACCATGGCGATTGAAGTTAACTGCCCTTAATTGTCGCTTTGAGGTTACTTCAAAAATTAACCGAATTAATGCAATATAGTGCACAACTCGAGTCGTTTCACTTTGAGGAGCCGAAAACGAAATTAAATCCTAGTAAATAAATGCAAGTAACCTAAATTATAAAAAGGGATTTTTTATTTTTGAAAAAAAAATTGCTAATTAAATGCTACGAATCATATTGAAATTAAAGTACTTTTTTTTGTTTATATAAAAGTAATTAAAATGAATGAAGATTAAAGGAATGAAAATGAGACACACAAATAACACTGATAAAAATCAATCCTCCAATTCAACAACGCAGGCAATCATCACTCTAAAAGATGTGGGAGTTAAAACAATGAATTAAGAATTATAATTAAGCTTTTAATCCAACAACCGAACCACCTCGAGTTGCCACAAAATATTTTCCTAAAATCCCAACTTACTAACTGCAACCAGAATAGTAAAATGGGATTAAGGATGCTAAAATCCAATGCTTAATTAGAATTCTTAAATCCAAATTAACAGAATTATAGCTAGCAAGAGACAATATGATCCAAAATTCCAAGTCACCTTAGAAAATCACAATATATTAACTCCAAAATTAATATGAATGTTATAACCACAACATCATAATTGAAATCAAAGCTATAAACAGCCCGATGTCAAATGCTAAACAATAATCCAGTCACAATAATCCCCAAATATAATCAGATTAAGCAATACAATTATCGCAATAATCAGAAAAACTATCCTAAGATCTAGAAATTGTTAAACAATTATTGAATAGGAAATTAAAGCAACTAGAACTCCCCTTTGATGATTCAAGCTCCTGCCATTGTTGTTGAATTGGAAGATTATACAACCTTAGCCACTGATTGCCATGAGGAATGCCATATTCAGAATTTTGTTGCAGTCTGCCATGGAAAAATACTGTTCACGCTGAATCTGTCTTGCTCATGCTGTCGTTGCTGTTCGTTCTCTGATCTGGTTCTGTTGACGCCGAGAAGAGGAAGGTGAAGTCGCCGATGATGATGATTCTCGTCTTCTCCCTCTCTTCTCCGCCGTCGCTGGTCTCTGTGTTTCACGCCGCTTTTGTCCTGCTCTGTTCGTGCCTCCGCTCATGTGTGTTTCTCCAGCCGCGCCTCCCAGTGTGTGTGTGTGTCTCCGTCGAGCGCCCCCTGCCACCAGGAAGGTTCAACGAAGAAGATGATGAATGGTCCTTCGTGTTGCGCCGTCGGCTCTCTAGACCTCAGCGCCGGTCCCCTGTTTTTTTCCTCGCCGCCTCCAGCTTGTTCGTGCTTGTGTGTTTTGTTCTCGCCTGCGTCTTCGGCCAGTTGATGATGATTATTAACGTTTTGTCCCCAACTTATTATTATTATTATTTTCTTTTAATTTAATTTTTTTCTTTTTTTATTTTTTTATTTATTTATTTATTTATTTTTTGAATCTTCCAAGAACCTGCAAGCAAAATTCAAGGATAAGGTAGCATTAATTGTCCTTAAAAATCAATTAATCATAATTAAATCAAAACATGACAATTTTGCCCCTATAAAATAATAATTCAAAATAAAACAAAATAAATCAATTAAGGAAAAAAGGGACCAATTAAGCTGACAAAACTCATATAAAAGATACCAAAATATATAAAAATAATTGAGTTTGTCAGCGATTTTTAAATCGTCATGAAATCCTCTGCATTTTATATCAATAGCATAGATGTCGCTTTCCAAACTACTGTAAAATATCTTTTTTGTAGTAGTGATGGATGTATAATTTTACTTTTCATTTATTATTGTGTTAACTTTATTTATATGAGGTATAATGTATATTAACTAGGAATAAAGTTAAAAAATTGTTGAAATTTAAATAAGAGTTAATGAAATTTAAGATTTTTCTTCGTCTGTGTGAAATATGTTGAAAGTAACTTATATATAAACCTAGAAGAGTATTTATTTTGAAATTCCTCTTTTTGAAGACTTTGGACACCCAAGATTAAAATTCAACTAAAAGGAGAGAGGCTTTGTAATCCAAAACCCAAACCAAAGGGGTTAGACCCTTCGTATTATGCAAGTCCCAGGTTAAACACTCAAATGAACCAATCCAAAGCCTTAGACTCAATCCCAACCCTCTCCTACCGAATTTAGAAGGTGTTTGGGAAGCATCAGAAGTATTTCTGAAAAGTACTTTTTCGTAAATCGAGATAAATTCTTCTACATATTTACTTCGTATATTGTGAAAGCAGTTTTAAAATCATGAATTGGATTTCACCCAAACATCCTTTTAACTTTCAAGTCTTTAAAGACACACATTACAGGCTGAACCAACCAAAACAAGGATAGTTGGGAAAACAAACTGCATGAAAACTCGCGCTCTAAACATCGACAAACCAAAAGAAGGTATATGTAGCATATATTACAACAACAACCTTTAGTTAATATTATCTCATGTTCTTAATATAAGATCTTATTTGATTTTTATTTTAATTCTAAGTATAAGACTCAAATCTACTTTATCTCTTATATTTATGTATTTTTTCTCAATATAGTACTTCTAACAATGGTAGTTCTAGCTAATACACTTGATTAGTAAGGATATTTTAGAAAAGACAACATCTATTTATTACTAATAACTAACATAACTTCTTTTCTTAATCTCATCAAATTAGTCAACTAGCTCTTATAATTAGGATTAGAGGTAGTACTACCTTTTATACTTAATATGAGAATTAGATGGAGATTTAATTTTATTTTAACTATAAAATTTTAATCCACTTTGTTTATAATATTTATCAATTTTGCCATCAAACGATCTCCATGTTGATTGTTCATGTTAAGGGGTTATTATCAAGTATTAATTTAAGTGCACATAATTAATAAACTTATTTTAGAAAAGACAACATTTCTTCATTACAAATAACTAAGTTAACAAATTTTCTTAATATTTATAAACTAGTTATCTAATTTTTATATTAAGAGCCGAAGGTAGTAGATGTTTTTAATAAGTCATTTCAAAGAAATTCATGTTTCTTGGTGTATTATGAGAGATGTGTTGACACTTGACGGATATGTTTATATTTTGGTCAACATTTATATATTTCTACTAAATAATTACTTATAATTTTAATACATTGAAGAGTTGACGGAAAAGGAAAAATGAGTGGGATGGTGTGGGAAAGGCCTAAAGCATGTTCAGAGGCTTTGGCATGGGATATATGGAAGTCAAGGAATCCATCCCGTCATTCAAGATTCTAGTCTCACTTTTAATAATCTCTGGGGATTCAACAAGAAGCATGAATTTCAACAAAAGTCATGCTTTTCTCCAGATTCTTCTTCACCTATAAATGTCTTACCACAGCACAATTCAAATACATAAACTTCGTCCTTCATTTTCCCTCAACCAAATCCATCTTTTAGAAAAGCACAGCAAATAAAGCTCCATCAACAATGTCGAAGAAGCTTCAAAAATTCGTTGGCCAGAAAATGAAGGTTCGAAAATTCCTTCAGTATTGTCTCGCCAAGCTTAAAAACCCTCGTCCCCAAATCCACCCTTCGTCTTCCCTGACACGGATCCTCTCGGATTGCAGGCAACCCAAGACCCATTCGATTGCAATAGTACGGGGAAACAACGCAGCTACGCTATCGGATATTGATCGCTTCCTCTTCGACAACTTCAAGTCTCTGTTCCTGCACGAAGAAGATGCTACTGCGACTAGCAGCATTACTAACAGAGTTTCTGAAGAAAATCAGGGAGATCGGAGATCAGGATCGATTTCGTTCGACCGGACTTCGCTGGATATTCTCGGCGACCTCACTGAGACTTACGGTTCTCGGGAGAACATCGTCATCTTGGCATGCTCGGCGAGCCAGCATGAAGATCTCCGGCAATCGATGAAAGAAATGGTGGACCGGAGGCTGAGAATTTACGGGAGGGTGGATTGGGGATTTATGGAAGAGCTCTTGTTGTGTTATTTGAACCTGAACGAGAGGAAGTCATACAAGTTCATACTGAGTGCTTACGTGGACTTGATCAACGGCCTGCGCGGAAAATCGCCGGAGAGAGCTCCGTTGACGACGAAGCCACGGAGTGTTCGCACACTGAGGACTCGGAGTGAGATCGGAAAGAAGAAGACCGAAGAAGCGACGCTGCAATTCGGGGAATAAAAATAAGGGAAAAGGATAAAAAAAACCCTAAATTTGAATTTTAAGTTGGATGAAAAATAAACAATCTTTTGCTGGGAAATACGGATAATGAGTATTAGACTCGGCTAAATTCCTTTCTTTTATGGTTTAATTCAGTGGCTCTTCCGGCCAAAAAACAATTAATGGCTTTTGTATGAAACATTAACTTTTTTCTTTTCATTAAAAAAAATTGATGAAGTATTCATTAAAAAATGATGAATAAGACGTAATATGCATAATTCAATAATTGATGGTTAAGTACTCCTTCCAATCCTTTTATATAATTTTCATGATAAAAATTATAAGGTGTTATAAAAAATATTTAATAATTTTTTATTTCACCTCTCAGAATTTTAATAGTGATTTTTTGCAAAATTGTGAGTAGAGGTTATATATCGTTTTTTGCAATTTCAACCAAATAAAAACTTTTTAAATGCACTTTGTAATAATAAAAACGAGTGTTGTGTGGGGGGGGGGGGGAATATCACCTCTTCTTCCCTCCACATCCGGCCAAGCAACTTCACTGTCATCACACAGTAGACCAAAAGTGCAAAACGTAAAATTAAACGAGGGAAGAATTATCACCATGTCTCAAGAAAATAATTTAATTATTAAAAATATTGATGATAAATAAGTTTGAGCAAAAAAATGATAAATGAACAACATAAATCTGTTATATTTTTTATTCTTAAATTTATCATTATATGTTTCTTATTTATTAATGGACTTTTAGAACATTAAATCTCTTCTTTGAAACTTGAATGTAATTCCACTTATTTACCTTTAAAAATTAAGGACACATGAGCGGAGATACCAATTACCAAACAGCACCGTCCAAATTTCCTCTCTTGACGTTGCAATTTTGTGGGGCGATTTGTTTGGATCCTTGTAAAGTGGTCTAGGCTTATGGTGGTGCCATTTTCTTAAAATGCCGACATAATTTTTAAATATAATTAATTCACGAATTTTAAAATGTTTTCTTATAATTTTTTTTTAAATTTTCACACATTATGAATTCATGACAAAAAATAATATGAAATATTAGTTTCTTTTTATATATTTTATATATTTATGTCCATGACTCCGAAGGGTGAAGAGGATTGATTGCTTCTTGCTTCTTATTGGCTATTGCATGCTTGACTGATGCTTGAGCCCTGAAGATTTTAGAAAGTGAAAAAAAAAAACGAAAAAGGAAAAAGGAAAAAAAAAATATCCTAATAAAATTCTTCTTGATTCAGTCCAGCTTCTCTATTGCCCGGATTGCAACTCTGCTTCTCCCGATCTCCCTTCCGGTCCTAATTGTCCGAACACTCCTGGGCTTCGCCGTTGCCGGAGCTTTTTCCGACGAGCTTTCCCGCAAAACGTGGACCAAATCCACGTAAGCACTCAGTATAAACTTGTGCGACTTCTTCTCGTTTAGGTTCAAGTAACAAAGCAAGAGCTCCTCCATGAATCCCCAATCCACCCTTTCGTGATTCCTCAACCTTGAATCCACCATTTCTTTCATTGATCGCCGGAAATCCTCATACTGGTTCTCCGACCACGCCAATAGGACGATGCTCTCCCGAGAACCCGAAGACTCAGTGACGTCACCGAGAAGATCTGGCGACATCGGGCGGAGCGGAGGGGGTCCTGTTATCGGACCTCCGCGATTTTCTTCAGAAACTCCATCATTGGTAGAGATGTTGTTATAATTCTCAGGAGTATTTTCGTTGTCGTCTAGGAACAGAGATTTGAAATTCTCAAAGAGGAAACGATCAACATCTGATAGCCTAGCTGCGTCGTTGTCGTTTCCTCTGGAGACGGCAAACGAAGGGGTTTTGGGTTGCTTGCAACCCGAGAGGATCCGCATGATCGGAGATGAAGAAGAAGAAGCAGCAGGGTGGATCTGGGGACGAGAGTTTTTGAGCTTGGAGAGGCAATGGTGAAAGAATTTTTGAATCTTCTTGGGCATGGTTGGGCTTGGCATGATTATTTCTGGGTTTGAGGGAAATTAAGAAGGGGACAAACACAGAGGAGATCAGAACAGGGATGAAGCAAGTCTTGGATTGTGATGTGCTTTTAAAGAGATGTAGTTGAAGGAGAATTCGGTGAAAAGCATGATTATTGTTGAAGTTCGTGTTTATCAGCAAATCCCCGGATATAAATGTGGGGATTAGATGCATTAATGGGGGTGGATTTCTTCAGTTGCCCTTTGAATTTATGTTTCCAAACACGTGGAAACTACAATCTCAAGTCAACCATTTTAGAAAAAAACTGGTCCTCGGTATAAGTTACTTCCATCTTTAATAACTGGTTAACTAATTTAAATAAATTAAGAAAGTAAGTTAAGTTAAATTAGTTATTTATAATAAATATATATTATTTTTCTTAAAATATCTTTACTAATTAAATATATTGGTTAAAATTACTATCATTAGAAAAATTACCTTAGAAAAACTGAATAAATATAAGAAACAAAGTAGATTGGAGTCTTATATTTAGGATCAAAATAAAAGTCAAACAAGGTCTTATATTAAGGATCAGAGGTAATATAAGATATAATTAGCTAATTTGAATAAATTAAAAATGTTAGTCAAATTAGTTAATGTGGTATGTTTTCTTCTAAAACATCTTAATTATATTTCTTAATTCTCTCATTTCCTCTTCCTCCTACTTGATTATTGTTAAGAAAATATCAATAAGATTAATTTAAGAAAAAAATTGATAAACATGTAAAATAGTTTTTATATATAAGAGTAATATCAACTTTTAAATTAAATCTTATATTAAAGACAGGAGAAATACTTGTTTTTTAATTTTATTCTTATTTAATTCCCTTTAAAAAGAGGAGAAGAATGGGAGACACGAGAGTGGGTGATAAATGTGGAGACTAGAGAGAGAGAGAGAGAGAGAGAGACTTCAACAAGGGTAAAATTGAAATTTTTTTTGTCAATCTAATACTTTTTTTAGTATGCGCGAATGTGTTATAAGTGACTGGTATTAAGGACCAGAGTAATAAGAATTGGTTGGGAATTGAGATTAGTTCTAAATATAAGACTCTAATATATTTTTCTTTACTTTTATTTTTTCTTAAACTATTTTTATTAATGGAGCATGTTAATGTTAAAGGAGTTTTTATCAAGAGATAATTTTAAGGGAAAAAGACACTAAAATACCCTCAAAATTACTAAATGACAAAAGAGAGTAGGTAAATTTCAAAATCTCAATTCAGACTCCAGCTACTATTTTGGAATTTTCAAATCTTGTAAAATTACACAAATGCCTTTTACTTTTTTTTAAATATTGCCACATCAGCAATTTCGGTCGCTGGAGCTCCGACACCGACGACCCTGCCGCCGACATACCACCAGAGCTTCGCGCGACCAGTTACCGGAGTTTTGGTGACCGGTTGTCAGAGTTTTGATGACTACTCTTTCTTATGTATAGACTGGTCAGGGAAGCTCTAGTGACTACTCTTTCTTATGTATTGACTACTCTTTTTTAGCTATTGACTACATTTATTTTTAAACTCTGATGACACGTTACTGGAACTCCAGTGACTGGTCAGGGAAACTCTAGTGACTACTCTTTCTTATGTATTGACTATTCTTTTTTAGCTATTGACTATATTTATTTTTAAATTCTGATGACTACTCTTGCTAAGCTATTGACTACTCCAGTAATATGATTTACTACTCTTGTGTAGTCAATAGCTATATAAAAATATTCATTGGAACTTTGAAAACAAAAGTTGTCAATAGTTAAAATAGAGTAGTCAATAGCTATATGGAAGTAGTCACTGACAGTAAGGACAATATTATCATTTTACAAGATTTGAAAATTCCAAAATGGTACCTAGGGTCTGAATTGGGATTTTGAAATTTATCTACCCTAATTTGTCATTTAGTAATTTTGAGGGTATTTTACTATCTTTTTCTCTAATTTTAATGCAATTGATTAAATAAAGTGTTTTAGAGAAACCGGCATATATTTTTGATAAATAAATAATTTAACTAATATTCTTATACTCATATTATAATTTACAAGAGGGATTTGAAGACATCTTTTTAAAAATTATTCACATTTAAACTTGGGAATTACAAACGGAAAAAATTGTATCAAATTTTAAATATAGACAATTTAAAATAAAAGTAATTAATACTCCATTTAATAATTTATAATAATGATAACTTATTTCTTTTGAAAAATGTTTTATAATAGGGAGTGGAAGTTAGGATAGTGAAACTTAGTCCACAAGTTGGTTAGTTAATGATTTGGACTTTGAAGTTTAATTTTGTTCAATTAAGTTTTAAAATTTCACAACCACATATAAGTAATCATTATAGTTTGACAGAGATGTGTGAGAATGATATAATTTTTTTAAGGTTAATTATGAAATACTAGGGATTTAATTGATAATTATCAAATTTAAATTAAGATCAAATCGATGTTTAAGGTAAATTTAAGTATTAAAAACATCGCTTTCCCTTAATATATATTTATAATGCTTTTTTTTTTGTCATCCTTTGGAAGGACTTCCCATTCATATTTTTGGTGTAGTCTTATATTTAAGGAAGATTTAGGAGCTATTTAGTGTCAATTAAGCTAAATGGCCTTGACTAATTTATAGTCTATTTATAATCCATACAATATTAATATAGTCATATAGAATAAAAAAAATTTATAAATACCATTAAGAATAGGAAAAATCCCAAAAAAATAATTATTGAATTTTCAAATTTTAAATTAGCAGTAGTTACTACACTCATAGAGAAAATAACTACATTTGAAAGGCAAATGACAACATATTTTTATGGTAATTTTTTATTTGAAATTTCAAAATTCAACAGTCATTTTTTTGAAATTTTTCCTTAGGAATGTAGTATATGTTTAATCCTTTAACTTAATATAAAGTTTTAGTTTGATCTTTTAAATTAAAAAATTAAAAATATATTTTTTAAACTTAAAGAAACAAATGAAGCGATTTATAAAATTAAATAATCAAATACATACTTTAGCTTACCATTAATTATTCATAAGTTACAAAAAGTGCTTACTGTTTGACCAGTTCATTAGACCGCATTTATGATACAAAAGACATGGGTCACAAAATTTTGGAAAGAAAATTATTATCTGATTTTACAATATTAATTTCTATAAGCCAAAGATCAATCTTTATTAAAGTTTATTATAAATTTAAATTCAAGCTAAGATTTTTCAAAAAATCCTCATGGATGATTTTGCTTTAAGGGTTGTCCATCTTTGTTATATTTTGAATATAATGAAGAACTTGCTAAAAGTATGGAGGAAATTGCCCAGAAAATTTGTTTCCATATGATTGCTTTTGGTAATATATCCATGATTTTGATGTCATTATTTAGAGTTTGAGGATGTGAAACAATCGTTTTAGAAAAGTTGATAAGTGTATGTTACTAACTTTGTTAATACTATAAATATGATAAATACATACATTTTATAATTCAAACATTGAGGAAATCTTGATAAAAAATCTTAAAATTCTTGAAATCTGAGTCATTAAAAATTGGGTCCGATTTCATTGAATAATAATTATATTTGGAAATAAGCAATAAGCATGGTTTCATTGTTATCTTCTGTTAAGAAGAATATGATATTTGAATTTTTGAAAGCAGCATATTAACTCATTAATACCAATAATTGAAATGAAATGAAAAATCATCATGAATTGTTAAAAAAATAATTACTTTTTTTCTTAAAAAGAAAGGAGATAATTCCTCCGTCTTTCCACCATCATTGACTTTAAGGCCACTATTAGCGATGACTAATGCAGAGCCATCGTAAGTGGCCAAAGCCATTATCTTCAGTGGCTGGAGTCGGAGTCAGTCACCACTAGAGGCAGTTATTGGAGCCGCCATTATCAATGGCTAGAGATGATATTGCTCATATATAGCTCAATTTGCTATACAAAACCCAACATTTTCTTATTTTGATGCAACTGTTAACTATGCAAACATCACTTAAACTTTTTCGGGTGTGAATTTAGAGTATCCCAAGTTCATTGGCAAAAAAAAAAAAAAGAGTATATAAAATTATTTTAGATTTAAGACTAATTTCTATCGGGTAAAAGCTTTCAAACTTAAAACCCTTCAATATATAAGTATGTTTCTTGGGATTCAAATTTGTATTATCTTTATTATGAGATTAACGTTACTTACTATCTCGACCAACAATTTATACGCTTAGTGGCTCATTTAAATTTTGAGCATATACTTGACTCGTTTTAATATAAGACCTAATTATTGAGTTGATTTGGATGCTAAATATAAGATTTAATTCTCATGCTTATCAATTTTTTTCTAAATTAGCCCTCTTAATAGTTTGATATTTTCTCAATCATAATTAAGTAGAAGACAGAATGAGGACATTAAGAAAGATGATTATAGTGTTGTAGAAAAAATATGTCATATTTCTTATAATTAACTAATTTACCTAACTTTCTTAATGGAATCAAATTAATTCAATATGTCTTATATTAATGACTGAAGTAGTATTTTTGAGTAACCCGTGAACTTGTAAATACTGAAAGATCCCTTGCAAATGATTTCTTCTTGTTTTTTTTTTTCAAAAAATCTGTATATGTTAATTAAGCTTTTCATTCATTACGCCTTATAAATTTGAAAATTAAAGATTACTTTGGAATTATTAATATCCTATAAGAACTTATGAATCTCACAAGACAATCTATGAATATATTCTTTTGGTTGAAAAAAAAAACTAAATTTAGATTTTGATGCGTTTAACTTGTAAATTTCTAACAACTAGTAAAACCTAAAATCCTCATTGGTTCTTTCAAAAGTCTATAGTGATGAATATGTTACAAGTGTGTTGTGAATACCAAAAGTGTGGCACCATATATTACAAATAATTGGCTCATCAGGGGTTAATCAATAATTTTAACCTTGCTTAAACACAGAGAAAGGCCGAGAATTACTG